ATGCCTTAAAATATACCTCGGAGTTTGCTCTTTAAAATTTGCAATAGCATAAAATTTTCGGTTAACAGAACTTAACCCTTGCTTACTTTTTTATTAATTCTTTTTCATTAATTTAGCGCAATCTGGCAACCATCATATACTTGCACACTTTGCGCGTCCAACATTCGGTATGGCCGACTGTTTGCCGTCGGTGTGGTGTCGCTCTCATTTATTGTTGCGCAATTGTTGTTTGTATGACCAAATCTCACCTAATGGCGTTTTTCATCATTTGCCGGCTGATGCTTGCTTTGAATTTGTGCTGGCTGCTGCGTGTGATGGTGTGGTACTCCGGCAGCTGTGCACCAACTGATGGTGTTGTTTTGGGGTGGGTCGATGGATCTTATGCGGGTTTATATGCAAACTTCGTGTTCGGCTGCTGTTGGCGTTTTGATGCTTATACTGTTTGCTGATGTTGTTGCTGTTGTTTCTGTTGTCGTTGTTAACACGGCTGGCACTTTCAGCTTACTTTGACTTTGGCCTATACTGTAGTGTCCTAGTGCGTGTGGGTATGCTTGTTTTTATTCCGAATGCACGCGAAGTTTTATGCCAAGCACAGCTTGTACCACCCCGCATATTGAATCGCTATTGGCATATTCTATGTGAGATGCTTATGGGTTTCTACAGTTTTGTGAAAATTTATTCCTTATTTGTGTCTTTATTGTTTTGGTTATTCCCAGAATTATATAATATTTTTAGCAAAAACTTCTTTTGTGCTCAGCTAGTTATAACTATTAGCGCAGACCGTTTATGCACTCATTGCATTTATTTCTTATATCATTTAGTTATTTAGCCACTGTTACTAGCATAAGAGGCTTAAGAGGGGACCTAGCACTGAGCCTTGCGTTCGAGATAAAGTAGCTCTTGGTATTTCGTCAGTATAGAAAATCAGGCTTCTGTTTTTAAAATAGCTTATTACAATGTGCATGAAGTTTTGAGCGAATGTTATGCAGAGCTTTGGTTATGTGTGGTCAATTCACTGAGTTGAATGCTTTCTTTACATCCAAAGTAAATACCTCGCAGTATTTTTTGCACAATCCGCAGTATCAAGACTACTTTTAGTGTATCAACAGTAGATCCTTTTTTATAAATCCCTATTGTATCTCCGAGAATCTCCCGATTTTATGAATTGCTAACTACGCTCAGTTTCGTATTTTTTGCTATTAGCAATTTTTTCTTTTTCCGTGGCTAACGAGTGTAACTCTTCACATAGGAAATCACAAAACTTTTAAAAATATTATTTTTTGCTGCGGGTAATTGCCGACTTTACGATCTTTTTGTGGCTTTTGAATACTTCTCTGAGACTTCTCTGATTTTACTTCGCTCCACCCCGGTTCCACTATAGGCTATGCCTAACTAAATTTCAGAGCTTTGGAATTTGCGTTTGCTCCACGCATTGTTGCGTAGAATACTGTGACTATTTTCTTTTTACTGCTGATATATGTAGTACGTCAGGCGGTGTCGTCGCCTGTTGCCTTTGTCTTTTGCGACAGACTAAGTAGCTTAAACAGGGCTGTATCAAAGTGTTGTGAATTCCAGCTTCCCTTTCGGGAAGTGGCTCTGCTAAGAAGTTCTGTCTCTTGGGAGCACCGTATTTTAGCAATAACTGCCATATGGTACTATTTGTGTATATGTTTGACATACGTTAAAATCGCTCTTAAGAAGACGATCATAACAACTTGCAAAATATATCCCCTTTTTATTCACCCATATGAAACATATTTAAGGGACTCAGGAGCAGGTCTTTAAGGGTTGCCCTTGCAAGGATACAGTTATTTCCGAACCCTGAAAGTATTGCTAAGTTTGTATGGCCACATGATTGTATACGCCTGTATACAAGAGCTATCTGTTTTCGCTCAAGTTTCTTCGAGGATAGTTATTTCGTCGAGGCCTTTGCACACGTTCGTGACGGTGTGGGTTTTAGGCTGCTATCCAGGTATCCTTTTAGAGTTTTCCTAAAGTAGGTTACGTTTGTTTCAAGTTCCTCCAGTTCGCTGCCATTATTTTTCTCATGATATATTACATAATCTTTTTTGACATTATTATGGCGTCTGGTTTTGATCCATGGTGTTTAGTTGTGGTGTTTTTTCGTGTTATTTTCAATATTTGATACTTTTTTGTTTGAGTTTTTAGGATTCTACGTAGCTCATATCTCCTGCAGTGTTTTTGGAGTATTTGCCACTTTACACATTGGAAATACTTGAGCAACTTGCTTCATTATTCTCTTGGACAGATTTTTGAATTTCTCGATTCTCACATGCAGGCACCTACATAGCTCTTTAATTTTGCCAGCGAGCTGGTTAAAATATGTGCATTTTCAGTGCATATTTGGATTCTTCGATATTTTCCATTCTTTTGTTGATCTAATATCTTATTTTCCTCATGATCTTAGAATTCCTCCTTTCCACCCGAATTTACTCATTCTAAGCTGAAAAAGTAACCGTTTTAAAAAAATACGTTCTTTTATTAAGCTAACTCAGATATTGGCCGACATATACGGTTTAAAGTCATCAGGAAATTCGAATATCTTTATATCAGGTATATAGTTTTAGCAAACATACATACTGAAACGGATTTTCTCCAAATTTCAATTATATACATATCTCACTTATTGACCATTATTTTCGGTAAAAAGTTGACTTGAGTAATTTTAAGTCATAAGGTTGCACACCTGAAAATTTTTGTTCTGATATTATATATTAACTGATTCTTGCTTTCTAAACTGGACAAATGGAATTTACAATTGTGTTATATGGGAAGTAGACGTAGTTTTAGCCCGATTTTGTTCGCATTGTAAGATAGGAGGATTTGGTTGAAATCGATCGAGATGGTTGCGAGGTATGTGATTTTATCTGAAAGTCGTCGGTGTCACTCCTGTTAACAAATTTTGACACCTGCTTGTTTAAAGCCCTCTGTGCTTTTAGTAGTTTTTAACAGTATCGGTAGTGGGCGGGGCTATTATCCGACTTTTCCATTTTCCCACTGTCGGTAGAAGTTTTTTTAATATTCTCTTTAGGCGAATTTATTTGTTGTAGCTTTAGTGGCTTCAGAATTATGTTTATTAAAGTTATTAGAGGGCGGTACTATGCCCACTTTATCAAACATTTTTGCGATTCCCTGTGTCAAATTAGAGTTATATATCTTAATTTGGTGCTTAGTTATGGGAGTGGTCCGATTATGCCCATCTACTAACGCGGTCTTGAAATCCTGCAGTAGAGCTTCCGTTTTTCGTTTGTATGGAGATATTTTTCGATATTAGTAAATTTTCGAAACAAACTTAAAATTTTAAAGTAACTAACTTAAAACTTTAACAAAATAAGTTTTTCTTATGTTACTCTTTTGAAGTAGTACTTCGTACAGTCTCAATATGTTATTTGTCCACTGCTCTTATTCTCATATTCTTATAAACATCAATATGTACATATACACTGTATGTATATACGTCCATATCCAAGTATGTCCGTCAGTCTCAAGCAAACGTATAAAAAATTTTAATTAAAATATTAGTACGTCACAACAATACTATTTCGCAGTGCCATCATTCGAATACAACAACTTGGGCTTGCCATGCATTCATATGGAAAAACATCGATAATACTAGATCAAGCATACAACCGCAGTGGAGGTAAATGCAATTGCTTAAGTGAGCAAAAAATAAGTAAAGGAAGGAAAAAACACCGGCTGGTCTTGAATGCTCATCGATGGCTGTCAGTTATTGCTTTACATATTTTTCAGTGTTTTGTTTTTGTCTGAAGCAAACGCCTCTGTTCAGCAACTGTATGTAAATGTTTGTGTATATGCATTCATAAAGAGAACGACGACTCATTGGCAGAGCAAAAAATGTAAGCGAAAGGTGCACAGCAGCTGTGAGCAAGCAGCCGCCGAAGGCATTTAGGCAACTGCTGCACACACTATGCGCACTCATCAAGGGAACAGCTGTTTTGCTTGCCATACAAACGATATCCACAACTACAAATTATTGGATAACGCGCATGCGTCAGAAAAGCATTTTCCAATTGTTATGGTGGACAACAGATGGAAGAAACGACAGCAAGCGTATGAGTCAATGCACATACACACACCCAACATATTAACTAAGAGAGCGTGAAACTACGAGAGAGCAAAAAACTCAGTGTCACGACAGGACTAAACAGTAATGACATTTTAGCCAAAACGCTTTTTCAACCAAAATCGTAATGCCAAATATTAACGCGCCGTCGAACCGTGAGCACGTTCAAGGGACAAATTACTGGATGCGAGGTCAAAATAAAAAAGCTGGTTCGAAGGCACATTCCCAACTGCACCGTGTTCGTATGAAACAAAAGCAAACCAGTCACGCTAGTCGTTTTGTCTTTGCAAACGCAAAGCAATGCAGCAAAGACAATTGAAATTCCGATGAGAACGTGGCGCGGGTGTTGTGACCAGCTATCGGATCACTTGAACTCAGTGCCATCGGAATTCGAGTTAGTGCCGGTTGTGTGTGGCGACCGAACAAAAACAAGCGGACCGGTTTTGTTGATCAGCACCTCCACTCTATGCTAAATTCTTTGCGCGGTGCTTAGTGAAAAGGTACATATTTTGAAATATAAGTGATTTCTGTAAAAAATGAAAGTGAAGAAAGTTTGTGTCCTTAGTCTTTAGTGCACAAACTCCTTAAATGTCCTTTTGTGTAGGTTTTAGCGGGCGAACGAAAAAATTTGAAATATAATTAATTTATACAAATTACAAACTAAAATGAAAACAACGCAACAAAAAGTACTGGGCTTGCTAATATAAAGGCGAAGCAATGAAAAATGTATTTGTGTAATTCGTACAACAGATTCCAGCCCGCAGCTGTTTTAATATTTTGCAACAAACGTCGCTTCGCTGAAGGAATGAAATAAAAAAGAAACAATCGTAGTAATAATAAGCAAAAAACAGAAAACCAAAAAATAACTGAAACGCAAAAAATTAAAAGTGGGAACTGGACTGCTGAACAAATTTTTAAATTGTGCACCGATGAAGCATAAATAAATTTTGGGCAAAAGTAGTTTAAAACAGATGCCCCGCGGTGCGAAAGCTAAGTAAAAATCGCTATCAGAAAGAGGCAACCGCCGCCGCCAGCCTAAAATAAAAAAAAAAAATAAACATTGCAGACTTAACTACAAGTGCATTCGCGTTACATTCGAAGGCAAAGTTATTGACAAAAGGTAAACAATTAAGTCACAGTGAAGCGTTGCCGAGCAAAGCAGTTGCACGTGGCTAAATGTGGAACTTTAAGAGGAAGCTCGTATACTCGGGGTAAAAACAAACCGCTACAACCTAGCACATTAGCCTCCACTACACCCCTTCTATTTCGGCTGTGTGCACCATAGATGTGCTCCGGCTGAAACGTTGAGAAGGATAGAAAACAGCTGCAGCTGTTTCACTGTGTCATCCAACTGACTGCCGCACAAAATAATACAACTGCATACATGCATACCATATAATCGCTTGTGTACATATGTATGTCGAAAAATAAATATGGGTACGAAATTGTGAAACAAAAATAATAAAGAAAAAAAAAAACATCGTGGAGATGTTCAAAATTTAAGAACTTTCATAAATTCATCCGCTTTACAAAATACGGTGAAATAGATATAAAACAGCACCCCCACCCCTGATGCACACAATTACGAATGTGTGTAGGAGTTTTCAAGGCGTAAACAATAACTAATTAAAAGTAACTGTCAAAGAAGCTAAAAAAACAATCGTTGTGCACGCGGTATCTTAGGCGGGTCGACCAGTGCTCTTTTAATATTCTCTTAAATGATTGAATTGTGATAGATTAAGTTGGGCTTTACGCTGTGAGCGTTTTCCAACTAAATCAATTATCGATCAACGTCTTCTCCAACCCCAATTCACTAAGAAACGCATATGTGGCACTCTATCAATCATATGGCCCCTATAATATTTAAGATGAGAAGATGCTTATAAACTCTTCATTTTGTCAATAATTGAAAAATTTTCACGCTCTACGCCTCTTGGCAATCGTGACTTGGTAAACATTTGCACTGGCCGCATTTTTCTCCTTGGCACATTTTTTTATGGTGAGTACACATTTACAGTTTTACTTTAATTGCCATGATAAATTAATTTTGAGAATTATATAATAATTTAAAAAATTACGTATATATTCCATACAAATTAGGATATTTTTTTTTTTTTTGTATAACATATAATAATACAAAACTATTTTAAGATTATATCGTTCATTTGTCCTTATTTATTACCAAGCGACATTTCAAGAATATATTAAAATTTTACTCTGAGCTAAAAGCCGCAAAAACGAGCTCATGACGTAAAGCCAGATTATAAATCAATTATGATTTTGAATAATGTAACAGAGCAGAAGCAAAAAGCAATACATGAATCAGTTGACATTATTTATAATGGAATAAAGGTAACAGATTTGGTTGGGTTAAGTTAGATAGCTGATTATTCAACGCTGCGGAGGAATCACACTTAGACTGTTCATTCAGTACTTTGTGAAGTCAAATGAAGAAATTTCAGTGACTAGCTATTAGCTATTGGAAAAGCGCACTGAACCTATCAGAAATCTGCTAAGGTGCTTTGTGTCTATTTCTGCTATCTCACCTGGATGTCTAAGTGTATGAAATCCGTTTAATTTTATGGCTTGTTTTGGCTAAAGCGAGAAGTAAGTGTTGTGATTTTTCTATCTCATTTTCTTCCAAACAGCTGATGCAGCTGGAATCCAGTAAGATGTTCAGCCTTACTGCATGAATACCGATGGTACAGTTTCCTGTTAAAAACTTTGCTAAGAGCTCCCTACATCTCTTCCGATTCACTACAGACTAAAAGGCCTTACGACTGCAAAACTGATGGTAGTTGATCAGCGGTTGTGGTCCAGTAGCAAATCACAGGAAGCCAATGGAGCCACTACCCGTTCCCATTATGCAGTACTTGAGGTACCTATCCTAGCAAGCTCATCAGCCTTACAGTTTTCAGCAATACCACGGTGGCCATCACCCAAGACTAATATTGCTGCCATACTATCGAAGTGGATAGTCACCACTGTGAAGAAGGTTTCGCTTTGGAGCAGTAGATCTACAAATTAATTCAGGAAAATTTTATATATCTTAGACACATAATTATTACCAAAAAGCTTACAGGAAAACAATCCCAATACCACATACTATAACATGTCATTTACTAAAACACTAATCATATATAGTAAAGACAGCCGGATGTTCGAAAATTCTGATAATAGTTATATGGCGGGTAAGTCAGTTTTCGCTCAACTTTATCTACAAGTACTTTAGGCACAAAGATACACTGTTATGAGTAAAATACGCTAGCTAGATTTAATTGAGATAACTCACATATTGGCCGATATATGCGGTCCAAAGTCACCCCAAAGTTCGATTATCTTTATATTATGTATATGGAGGCTTCGATTAAACCCATTTTTGACATATAGACATACCTTAGTCAGAGAAGTGCTATCCCTGAATTTTAATTATACTCGTATATTTCAGACATTGACCAATATTTTCGAACAAAAGTCAACTATAGGTACTGACATTATTCGTAGAAAGTTTAATCCCGTTATACTAATTGCTTCTGTACTTATATTTGTGTACCGAAAATTAAACGAATCAAGTGGAATTTAAATATGTATTATATGCGCAATATGCGTGGTTATTGTCTGAGTCCTCTCATTTTCACAACGTGACATAGGAATATGAAAAGAATGACACCTTTATAAAGCCTTGTCCTTCTTTCCGGACATCAAATTTTTACGTTACTGGCGTATTTAGTTATTGATTAATCGGGCATTTAGTAGTTCTGAACAGTACAGTTATATGGGGAGTAAACGAGGTTTTCATCTGATTTAAGAATTCTGATATTCGTGCTGGGCGAATTTGATTGTTGTAGCTTTACCGGTTTTGCTACAGCGATATCCTGTGTCAAATTATAGTTTTATATCTTAATTTAGTGCTTACTTTATAGGTTCTCGTTTAATGGCGCTTTGTAGGCGTGGCAATGGTCCGTGACAGGCAGACAGTCAATCGATTATTTAGAAATATTATTTATATATAATATTTTAATATTTAGAAATATATAGCTCCATATGTACCTCGATTAGTTTTAGGTTATATGTACAACCGTTAGATGAACAAAACTATTATAGTCTTTAGCAACTGGTTGCAAGAGTATATAAATGAACAAAAACACAAACGTGCCTTCCCAGCAGGAGCAGGATCCTTTCTCTCGTCTCGTCGTCCCCGCGCCTGCAAAAATCATCTTGGAAAACAAACATATTCCTCGTATGAACATAGTCATTAATGTTGCGTTGATGGCAGTGAACACAGAGTGGCCACATAATATGTACCAAATACTTGAATAGATGTGTATGCATGTTTAACTAGACGCGCTGTTTGTTTCCTTCAAATTGATTGCTTCAGCTGTTTGGCAGCTGCTCAGAAGCACTTTTGAAATCATATTCACATGCGCACATGTGAAATTACCAAGTAAATGAGTATACGAGGCACAGAGTTAGTGGAATACTATCTTATGCCATCTCTATTTATGTACTATATATTTGAAAATGTAATAAATGCTTGCAGGTATGAATGCATAATATATTTGTATGTAAATTTTATAATGTATATTTTAATGTAGTATGCTTATGTATGTATGTATRTTTTGGTTACATCAAAGTGTTGACTTTAGTTATTTTACAACGGTTGGTTTAATCTCTCAGAGAAATGGAAAATATTTATACAAATTTAATATTTAGCTAAACTTTCGAAATCGAATACTCTCTAGAAGAGCATTGATTGAAATATTTTCACATAGTACTAAATTAAGAACTAAATATTATGATTGAAAAAAGGTGAGCCACATATTTTAAAACTTAGAACATAGGTGAGGTCAATAAGGCAGTTTTACGATACAGAAATGCGATACTTCCGTATGTATATAATTGCGTATGAGATAAAAAAAAAACTGAATGTAAATTCTTGATTGTTGTGATATTGAATATTGTCATAGCCCCAAGAATTAGGTTGCTGTTACCTCAGTCACCAATATAATCAACGGTGCTAATGATATTGCATATATGTCTATTGAATGGCTCGGCCAAAGATTTATTTTCACCCTCAGCAGTGTATTTTACGTTTGCTACGAAGTTTGTTACACCCAGAAAGAAACGTCGGTGACCCAATAAAATATATAGCTAGTATTTTCTGTTTCTTGGTATCATTGCAGCGTTGTTGCGATTTGATTGTTACTAATATATTACATATAAGTTCATATACGAATATTCGAAAGTATTCGGTAGGAAAGCACATGAATGGTGGAGCGTAGCTGTTGTTAATAGCATTTGGTGTATGTTTCTTATGGGGTAACAGTCGCACATGCAGTCGGCGACCGGCCGCAGGTCGCTATGTTTGGTGTTTCGCCATCTAATCACTCTTATTATATGTGTAAAAGTATACATGTGTACAGTATCGGACAAAACATATTATCATCTCCTATTCTCACATTTATCATTTTAAATATAAAACAAGTAAGGAAGGGCTAAGTTCGGGTGTCACCGAACATGTTATACTCTCGCATGATAAAGTGATAATCGTGATTTCATTATCCGCCATTTACATATTCTTTTATTTTGCTGTAAAATTAATTAGATTAGATCAATTTGTGTATTTTGAGTATTGATTTGTATTTTCATTTATTTTAACTGTATTGATTCACCGATATTTTCGGTGAAAAACTAGGTTAGGTTAGGTTAGGCACTGAGTTTTTCGTGTTCGATATCAGCGACCTTGAAAAGGTATAGTCCGATCACGACAATTTTTCCACAAGGGATACCTCAGCTCAAATACCGTAATTGTGTAAAGTTGTATTCTGCTTTTATCATTGGTTCCTAATGTGTATATTATACAGAGAAGGCATCAGATGGAATTCAAAATAGCGTTATATTGGAAGAAAGCGTGGTTGTGAACCGTACATATCATCAGGGTGTTAGGAAAATATTATATACCGAATTTCATTGAAATCGGTCAAGTAGTTCCTGAGATATGGATTTTGGTCCATAAGTGGGCGACGCCATGCCCATTTTCAATTTAAAAAAGCCTGGGTGCAGCATCTTTCTACCTTTTCTTCCATAAAATTTAGTGTTTCTGGTGTTTTTTTTTTAGTCGGTTAACGCACTTTTAGTGATTTTCAACATAACCGTTGTATGGGAGTTGGCATGGTTATGACCGATTTCTTCCATTTTTGAACTGTATATGGAAGTGCCTGAAGGAAACGACTCTATAGAGTTTGGTTGACATAACTATAGTAGTTTCCGATATATGTACAAAAAACTTAGTAGGAGGCGGGGCCACGTCCACTGTAAAAAAAAATTACGTCCAAATATGACCCTCCCTAATGCGATCCTTTGTGCCAAATTTAATATCTTTATTTATAGCTTAGTTATGACACTTTATAGGTTTTCGGTTTTCGCCATTTTGTGGACGTGGCAGTGGGCCGATTTTGCCTATCTTCGAATTTAACCTTCTTATGGAGCCAAGAAATATGTGGTATCTAAATTTTTACTCAAGTTACAGCTTGCACGGACGGACGGACAGAAAGACCGATTTCAACTCTACTCGTCGCCCTGATCACTTTGGTATATATAACTCTATATCTGACTCTTTTAGTTTTAGGACTTACAAACAACCGTTATGTGAAAAAACTATAATACTCTTTGTTGCGAGAGTAAAAACTATTTATTTTATGAAAACATACAAAGCATTAGAAATTATTTCACTCCATGCCATTTTATTCGAAAAAAATTAGTCCAATATTCAGTGCGACAAAACATATTGATAATAATGATTGTTATATAACATTTTATAGCATAATCACTATTTTTAATTGCTTGACTGCATCTATTTGGCGGAGAAGCTATAAGATTGTCATTAACTTCTGGAAGGTTTCGAACAATTTTTTTTATCCCCATTCACTCTTTCTTTATCTATTCTTCTATTGATTATTTATTACTCGAAAGAGTAAGGATTGGCCACCTTAACATTAA